TACGACTTACCGATGGTAGTGTAGTTGATGTAGTAGTAGGAGGCGATCATGCCCAAGTTGAGTGGCTGGACGTCCATTTCGTCTTCCACTGCGATGCACTTGGACTGCTCTAGGTCTGCAAGTGTGGATTCCACCAGCTCGGATAGATGATCCGACAGGTGCCTGTGGAACGATATTTGTGAAATATTAACAACCTCGCAGGACTGTATCACTCACACCTCGCGCTTTAGAGCGGCAGACTCTAAAGTCAGGATTGCCATGATGTTGTCCAACCTTTGATAGGAGAGGAACTCCAAGACGAAGAATATCAAGTGATGGGATGAACAAGTCGTGGCTGGTGGTAAGCGACACGTGTTAAGGACAGCTGTAACAGTTGCGGTGCCACTCAGAGCTTTAAATCACGAAGATCTGAGAGGCACTGCCACTGTTTCCGTCACACTGTGACTAAGTTGACAAGTCCCATGCGCCTGTAATTTCACCAGCACTTTCAACCCTTCACAGTAATGCTCTCATTACTGCTTGGCGGCAGAAATAGGTAGCACTACGTGTTAGATAAAGATGTATGGAAAGACGACATGGCTCCAGAATCCACACAAATTTGATTCAAAGTGTATTCCATAGCATTTAAGTTTATTTGAAAAGAGCAATCCCTAGAGTTTCTTGCTCGTTCTTCTCAGGGAGGTCAGCGTAGTGAACGAGCAGTAGCTTAAATGTGACGTTTTCAAGTGTAAATTTATTTTACCTATGGAATAAATAATCTTTGACTTTGACTTTGCATTTCTCTGGAGAAATTCTCTCACTAAGAGGTTTGCTGCTGCTAAAAACTCCCTTCGTTTTTTAAGCTTTATTAAGTCTGGGATCCAATGGAAGAAAAAATTTTTACTGCCTCAGTGGCCGGTTATCATGCTGTACTGCCACGCAGAAGTTCGATTCCGGAGCCGGGAGAAATATTTCGACCCCTCCTACGTGAAGTATCATATGTCGAAATTGCCAAGTTTACAGGCGAGCGTTTTAAAGTTTTGAATTCACAGAAATGAACATAACACGATCATCTAATAGATCATCTTAACGATATCTAGGATTTAATAACACTCTACTATCTATGTGAATAACGAGCTATGCCGAATAAAACTGAGAAATGCTAACGTCACGTGTTACGCTCATTTGTCAGTAAATTCACAACTTTAAAACGCTCCCCTGTAAACTTGGCAATTTCGACATACGATACCTTACGTAGGAGGGGTCGATTTATATGGCCTACATTTGTTTATCTCGTGAGTTTGGGTGTAATTCGTGGTTGTCCACGTGTGTCCATAGAACCCGCAATACAGGGTGTTCCTAGTGCGGCACTAAGAGTGTGTGCGATATTATTATTTATTGAATGGTTCTTTAATACTGCAGTTTTACTGAAAAGGACCTGTTTAGTGATAAATACCTATGAGTCACTCCCTGCAGGTTATAATAGTTAGGGTTCTGCGTGAGACGTCGGTAGAGGAATGTCCATGTTAGGTAGTCGACTGCATCCTGCTTGTTCTCGATTGTTTTCGTCACGATTTCAGCATTTATGTGGTCGTGCAGACGGTGATCCAAGTGGCTCTGGAACGAGAAAGTTAATCGACTAAAATCCAATCAACCCGCCCTGGTTTTAACCGAGTTTTTACCTAAAGCGCCAAGTTCTTTTTTTAGTTAAATGGTTTACCCTTGACCACTACCTAGCTCTGGAGCAAAGATAGAATCGACGATGGAACGAGCTCGCTCAGAAGATGCCTATTCATTCGCACCTTAAAGGTATAGTTATATTTTATTATTTAATATCTATTTTATAATTTAAAATTTAATTGTAAGCGTACAAGGAGTGTGTACATCTCGGATCAAGGAGTTTATGCGCATAAAGGATTAGTCAGTTGGTAGTGGTGTATAATATACATGCAAATGACAAGCTCACCTCCAATGGCAGGCAGTCGTTGAGCAGTTTGGCGAAGAAAGTCTTGTGATGTGCGGCACACATGAGCACGGCGACAGAGTGCTCGTCTTCAGTGGGCCGACAGGCGCGGCCGACCATCTGCAGCACCGTCGTTATGGGGTACTGCTCGTACGAGTGCAGCTTGCCGTTGTATCTAACCATAAACAATTCCGTTAGGCATCTGAGAGACGTCACAGTAGAAATGGCTGTAAACCGCCAGTGTCGCGAGCAATGAAATAGACGACTCGGTAAAATAATAAAAGGCAAAAGAAGACTGTAACAATAAAAATAGTGCATTCGCTTTTTGGTTTTAAAATCCAAAATCTGTTTAGCCCAATCTCTTTCTTTTACCCTTCTTAGACTATGTTGATTCCTGCTATTTGGATGCTACTGAAGAGGTGAGGTGAACGGTTGCAAAAGCTGTGCATAAGGTTCATTTTTGGCCTTCGTAAATATGATCGAATCTCACAGCTTTCCATTGGTCTCCTCAGGAATTTGCGTACAGACAGTACGTACCCTTGTTTACAATATTCTGCATAACCCATGTCTCCCGGGTATCTGAAAGAGCGATTCATCTTTGTCAGGTCCTAGGATAAGCCCTGTCGCTCTCTCGTTAGGTCCCAGTTATGTTTTTCATCTTTCAATTCTGATTTTTATTCCCACTCCTTCACGCTTATGCGGTCAGACTTTGGAATGCACTTCCCATTAGTGTTCATGATAATAAATCCTTAGCAATTTTCAAAATGAGGGTTAAGGAGCTTTATTTATCGGCTGTTGTATCTATTTTATAAGTGTCATAGAACTAAATATGATTTTTAGATTATCTAAATGTTTATATAGTATTTAATGTTTTCGATATCGAGTGTGAACTGGCAACCGGTACTATCTCAATTTTGATAACTTTACAGTTGAAGAAAAAAATCATTTATATAGCATCTGGTTTATTAAATAAAAATACGTAGTATACATACATACGCGTGGAATAAAAATATTTAAAAACTACGTATTTTTATTTAGTAAACCAGCCCCCGTAGCATGGCTACGCATGATAGATATCTAAATTAGATCTGATTGAGACAGCCAATAGCGCGCGTTTATTTCAATTTTATCGCGCGATCGCGACTATCATGCGTAGAGCCATGCTATCCCCATAGCTTGTAGGGAAACATTTATTGGACCCCGAACCCTTTATAGGGATCGAATACAGCGTGGCAAAGCTCACTCTGCTGAACGAGAGCACACACGTCTCCCGAGAAGTGTGGCTGCAGAGTAAGGTTCTTGAGCACTCAAAAACCCTGATAGCTGCAGACCAAACACTGTAGAGAAGCTCTGTCATTGGACAGGACATTGTGGCTTGAACAAGCACATGTCAAATATTGGGCAGAGAGAGAATAGAGAGTGTAGATTCTGCCACGAGGCGGATGAAACTCCTGCTCATCTTCTCACCCAATGTTACCCCTTGCTGGGCGTACGAAGCTCCATAATGGGAAGGCATATGCTACAACCAGAGGACATTAAATCTATTGGAGCCAGGAAAGTCCTTCAGTTCTTCAATGCTGTCGGCCTTGGCTCCGAACTGTAATTAGTGGTGGTCATAATAGATCAACTAACGGTCGCAGTGATGAGGGGCTACATATGCCCCGAATGAAGCCATCCTAATAATAATTATATATTTTGACACACATGGCCCCAGACTGTTTCTGGTAGTGGAAGTGATGTCGAATGGCGCAGTACTCACGTGCAAGTGTCCGCGATGATGACGGTGTGGACGTGCGCGGTGGTGGCCCAGGCCAGCTCCGCGGCCATCACGCACAGCTGCGCGGCACCCGACTCCAGCAGCTGCTGCACCACTCGTCTGTCGCCAGGCTCTACGCCCTCATGAAGATATGCCACACCCGCCGCCAATGTTTCTTTCAGCATCTTGTTCGAGAAAAAAAAATTGTCAAGCAACTTGGAATTGGAACAATAACAAACCAGATTAAACTAAATAAAAGTTTCTTACAAAACCGCGCTGACATCACAACGTCATGTTTACATGCACAGGGGCGCCACCAAGCGGCAGATAATTCAATTATGACACTGTAAGCTTTCATATAGCCTAGTTTTATATATATTACTTTTCAATAAAGCATGCTCGGAAAATCATCGAGTATATAACCAGAAATAGAGACGAAATAAGGGCCATACATTCCTGGTAAACTCATCAGTGATACATCACTTATAAATATCAACTCTCGTTTGCACTGAGATAGTACAGCACCAACAACTGTGTGCACGTCTCCGTATATTCCAAAAATATTCTGTATTTATTGTAATAAAGATAATATCTGTAACTATGGGGGGCTGTTCCATTCGGTGGTGTGGGAAAAACAGCAAAACATCTAGTTACAATACAAACTAATTATTCAATTTTTCGTCCATTATAGCAAAGCTCAAGTTAAACTAGTCAAAATTTGAAGTGAAACAATTGACGACACCCGTCAATTGTTTCGAGTTCGAGCTGGCCAATCGGAACGCAGTTGTCACAGTAATGATTTGGCAGAATAGTTTTCAAAAAAAGTAAATGACATTTCGTCTCTATTTCTGGTTACATACTCGATGTATTCACACACTGCCTTTTACCTATCCTTAAAGTAACGCATCCAAATTAACACCCTTGATAAGAAATTTAAAAAAAAAAACTTTTGCCACCTCCTGAACGATCACTCTTTATAAGATACGTGTTTGAGAAAGTAAAGCATCGATATGTATGTAATAATGTATGAATTAAAGACGACCGCTGTGGCCGAGTGTCTAGCACACCGGTTTTCACGGTGTCGCCATCTCTGAGGTCCCGGGCTCGATCCCCGGCCGGGTCAGGGTAGGAGACTAACTTTTCTATATTGTCTCGGACCTGGGTGTTTGTGGTACTGTCGTTGTTTCCAATTTCCATAACACAAGTGCTTTAGCTACTTACATTGGGATCACAGCAACGTATGCGATGTTGTCTAATACTTGTTTATTTAATTACTTATTTAATGCTATAGGACGCGTGACGGGTGATCGATAGATGTGTCGCATGCTACCTTGTCCTGGATCTTGTCGAGGAAGGGCTGCACGAGGTCGGCGCGTGCATGCAGGAAGCGGCCGGGGCGGCCGTGAGCGGCGGCCAGCGCCAGAAGGTCCGCGGCCAGCAGGCGCGAGTGCCTTCGCGACCCCACCCACACGGCGCAAGGCTTGCTGGCGCTGTGTCGTAGAACCGCGTTGTAGATCGGCTTCGTCATGGCCGCCAGCCGCGACGCCGCGTGCGAGATGTTAAAGCCCTGCACGTGTGTAACAGGCTAAGTATATTTGCACGTTGCACTCCATTATTTTCAATCCTCACTACTCAGAATACTTGAAACTTAAAGAACAATGACAAACTTACGTATAAGTTTTTGTTGATATTATTTGTATGCGTCTGTTTATGAAAAATATGTGAAATTATAGAGTTAAAATTCCTGAACAAATTTTGTCTACTTTCTTTACTATTCTGAGAAGTCAGGAATGAAAGGTTTTAAAATTCCATTTTGAAGTTTTGGAGGTTATGTGTTACGTAATTGAATAAAATATATTCGGTGTATTATTATTATATCAAAATAAAGTACAGAAGCCTTAAACAGAGTTAATAGACGCTGCATGGTGCCGTGGGTTTGTGACGCGACGAAAGTTCAGAGGAAATTATTTTTTTTTGCATACTGGTATGGTCAAAAGGCATGAAGTTAAGCCATAACAAAAAAACTGACTTAATTAATAACATACCACAGCCTATTGCACTGGTAACTCGGACACAAATTATTTTTTTTGCCAAACGTGCCATTTATCCCTGTTTTTGGGAACTTTTTTGCCAGTTTTATAATTTTCTCGCGTGGCATTTTGGAGAAGAAATCGGCCCCTCCTACGTAAAGTATCGTATGTCAAAATTGCCAAGTTTATAGAGGAGCGTTTTAAAGTTCTGAATTCACTGAAAGAGTGATCATCTAATAGATGATAATAGATCATCTAACCTATATCTATGATTTTATAATACTCCATGTGAGTAACGAGCTTTGCCGAATAAAACTGAGAAATGCTAAAGTCACGTGTTATACTTATTTCAGTGAATTCAAAACTTTAAAACGTGTCCCTGTAAACTTGGCAATTTCGACATACGATACTTTACGTAGGAGGGGTCGAAATTATCGACTTTATTTTTTGTAATGAAGTAGATTAATGTTTTATTAGCTTATTACAAATCGGTCGAATCAGTCCATTCGATATTACGTGAACTAAATGCGGTACTGAAATTTCTTTTTTGGCGGTTAGATGTCGCTCAACGTTAAGAAAGTGATAGTTGTAGATATCAGTCCGGTTACATACTAATTAGTCATTAGAATTCCTTTTAAATATGATTTTATTTCCAGCCTTAGAGGGTCGCTATTATAATTTGAAAAACCTAATGCATTTATTTTATTCAAACTTGTAATTAAGACATTTGAAGACGCTAACGAAATCTTTTAACTATGATTTTGCCATTGTTCTTACAATATCTCGGTGACTCTCACGACGTCCCACTTCGATCCACGAATTTACTTTCACTCTATGTACCTCTCATTTATTTGAAACTCTCTTTCAGACAAAATGTCATACAAAGTCTTCGGTGGAAATGGTCTGGATTGACGAGGATGGGCGAGGCGAGAATTGAAATATTTGTTGATGTAATATTGAACCGTATTGCTGTCAAGATAGAGTATTATGCTCTTTAATGGAAACACGATTGCGTTCTCGCGAGATTGTGGCGTACGTACGACTTGAGATTAAAAAAAAAGATAGTATTATCTGATTCTTCTTCCTTGACCATATTTAATAATAATAATTTACGGCGTATTTATCGCTAAATGAGCTGAACAGCACTGAATATTCTTAGAATATTTTTGGTGGAAATAGGCCGACGAAATGTCAATTCTCGTCTCGTCTCGCCGGTGGAAAACTACCATTACCCTTCAAAATTGCAACGCAGAAATGATCATATTACTGCTTAGTGGCAGAAATAGATACGGTGACAGTACTTCCACCATGCATAGCACGATTTCTTGGTTGTTACAAATAAATAAAACAGACCTGTATATGTAGTTCGAGGGGCAAAGGCCTCACGCTGGGGTGGAAGTTGAATGTAGCGGTCGTGGCGCAGCCCAACCACGCGGCTACGTCGCGGGCGTCTGCCAGGGGCAACGATAGTGCCACTATGCGAATTTGACGGCCTGAATCAAACAATAACGAACATTTTATGATATAACCAACTATCTTAAAAAAGCCGAAAGTTTGACATTTATGGACCGTGCGACTTAGGCTTTATTCAGAGTGGCGGCGGGCGCGGGTGCGTGTAAATCGAATGTACGTAAACGCTCGTTGCGTTCACGCAACCGGCCGCCCCCGTAGACTTATTGACTCAGTCAGCCCGTACCATTCACAGTGCTTGGTCTAGCGTCTGTTTGCTACTTGTGGATCTAACGGTTTTAGTCGCTTCGGCACTGTGAAAGGGAAAACGTCAAGACCCGCGCGCTCCCACCCGCCACCGCGCCCACGCCTGCACTCTGAATGAGCCCTTAGGCTGCTAACAGATTGACTGCATGTTTGCAGTTAATGCGTTCCAATAATTCCACTTTCCACTAGTGAGAATTGGTCTTCTTATTTACTACCAGTCATAGGTTTGAACCGGCACACTGGTCGTTAATAAAAAAATGAAAGAAACCAATGTAAGTTGTTCTCACCAATCTGCGACGAAATGTATCTCATTCTCGAGCAAACAACTTCTAGTACGGGACCTTCTTCGCCTCCCAACAGTTGTAGAGCATCAACTATGAACAAAGATACACTCTGGACACTCTTGCGCACTTTCCATCTGTAACAAAATTGTTATTGTAGCTAATTGTATTTATATTTTTCTAAGTGCTTGTTGCAGATCTTTGTTTTAGGTTGTAACAAGTTTTTTGCCGTAGCGCCATCTGTGAGAAACCTATGAAAGCTTTCCTTCACTCATCCAGGTACCTTTACAGATACCAGCCCCTGACTAGAGACGTCGCGCTAATTATTGTAATTTTTTTAAAGTATTGAATGTCATGATATTTGACCACCAAAGACATTAAATTATTTTTGTGAAAATACTCCACAAGTTTGTTATAATAATTATGAATACAAAGAGCGAACAGCAAGAAAAAAATTCTTCGAACTTAATATTAATTTTAATATAAATTTTTCATCTGTCATGAGTGAATAAATAACACCGTTACATATTTATAAGAAAACCAGCAACAACCACAATAAAATGATATAACCCTTTTGCAAAAGGTGTAATAGCGACTGCTGAAGATTTCAATCTCGAAATGGACAGCAGCGAGGTCATTGTTCTCACGTCATATACGGGTAAGGGGATTATAAAAGCAGGTATTGTTGGTGTATACACACAATTTAAATTCTGGAGCTGTGTCACCAATTGGTATTGGAGAGAAGAGTTGACCAGTGCGAAGAGGACACTTTCTAAAACGACATGAGATACACCAGCCATGACCTTAGTGGCACCGCCGCGACTGGCCCTAAACATTTACTGCGTCCAGCGATACCGACGACGTTGTTAAACATTTGTCACGGCTTCATTACGCCGCAGTCTGCGGATATTGTGGAGTATATACGGGTCAAAACCAATGCTATCCGAGGGCCGAGCAGTTGGGGTCATGCCAGAATGTAAATTTTAATTCATTTGTGGTGAGACCACCAACTCAACATCCGTCGACTTTGTAACGATGTTTCCTATGCACGCTACCGGACACCCACGTTGCGTCACACGTCGCAGACAATACATGTAAATAATTAGTACTTAGTGTTTTATTATATTGTTATGTACGTTAATACATAAGGTGTGTATTTATTGGTCTTTGTAATCTGAATATAAATAAATGAAAATAAAAAAATACAAAAAACGTCATAGGATTACGGATTACGGACGCGATTAATTATCAAAGAAAATAAATATCTTAATATTTTCCGAACTCCAGCCAAATCATACGCCATACAAGACAATGTGACGGCAAAGTTGTATTGTGAGGTGTGTTAGGCATCCCTCCGCTATCCCTCCGCCAGCACGATTGACAAATCAAGCTCATCAAACATTATTTCCATAATCTAGCATCGATTAGGACACTAGCATAGTTAATCCATAAGTTCGTATTGTTAATTAAATTATTTTAAAATCATTTCGGTTTTTTTTGAACCTTCGACCGCAGCCTACGTAATTCATGCCTCTACGACAAGCGTCACAATGTAAGCATCGCCTGCCAGTTGCTTAACTGTCTCCGTGGCCGAACGGTTACCATGCCACGCTGAGATCCCAGGTTCGATTCTCGGGCCGGGAGAAATGTTTGTATGGCGTACATTTATTTCTCTCGTGAGTTTGGGTGTACTTTGTGGTTGTCTATGTGTGTGTCCATGGCACCCGCGACACAGGGTTTCCCTAGTGCGGGGCTATGTTGAGTGTGTGCGTTATTAAAAAAAAAAGTGGCTAGTTCTAGCAAATCTACATTCCGCAGGTGCAAGGCTTACCTCCGTGACAGTACGTCCCACTTTTCAGCCGTGGTGACGATGATTTGTCCCTTGTTCAACAGCTTGTGGTCAGTCGCTGTTTCACCTGTCAGCTGGACCACCTGTAGGTGAAAAAATGTTTGGGAAAAATGACAATATAAATAAAAAAAATAATAACAAGAGAAATAAATCGAGTTGTTAGGTTTGAAAAGCCGTGACCAGGATCACGGCAATAGGATAGGAAACTACACACACACAAGAATAGGTATATAAAAACATTTTACTTTTATTTTGGGCAAGCAACACTGTTTTTCTTTCTCTTCTCTCAAAAACCCTTGTAACGGCAGGTCTAAATTTAAGTTATTTTTGGAAATACAGTTCACATTAGTAAATTCAACTTGTATTTTATTTGTACGATGAGCTAAAATTATAATCTGAACTTTGACAAGTATGCGTGTCTATAGAAGACATCGTGTGTTACAAACTAAGTTATAAATTAACGCTCCCCTAATATGGGTAGATGGCTAATCTTAAACAAATTAAAATAATCGTCGGTACTATCTATAAAAATATGTGCAATAAGCAACATCTAGTTGATTTGTTTGTTATCAGTCGAAACCATCGAGTATATTACCAGAAATAGAGACGAAATGTAATTTAATTTGTTTGAAAACTATTCTGCCAAATCATTACTTTGACAACTGCACTCCGATTGGCCAGCCCGAATTCGAAACAATTGGCGGATGTCCTCAATCGTTATATTTCAAATCTACCGGTTAACTTGAGCTTTGCTACAATGGACGAAAATTGCAAAATTACATATTTAATTACTGATGAAATTTGATTCCTTTTGTTTTGTAGTTAGATGTTTTGCTGTTTTTACCCACACCATCGAATGGAACAGCACGCCACTGTTAGAGGTATTATCTTGTACAATAAATACAGAATATTTTTGGAATATACGGAAACGTACACTTGTTGACACTGTACTATTTCAGCTTCCTAATTTGTATATAATATTTCAGTGCAAACGAGAGTTGATATTTGTAAGTGACGTATCACGGATTAGTTACCAGGAATATATGGCCCTTATTTCGTCTCTATATCTGGTTATATATTCGACGGTCGAAACGCTTCAATTCTATAATGAATTTATTTATTTAATCAGGCTCTCACAACAATGAGTACACTATAACTATGCAGGCATATAGAGTAGACACTATGGTTTTAAACTAAGTGTCAAGCAAAGTGTCAAGGAGGGCGCAGCATGCACTAAAAGAAAATCAATAATATTTGGTTAAGTATGACTATACAAAAGTACCATCATTATAAACTTAACTATAAAATTCTCACATCACTTTCTTTGTTCTGTTCTGTTCTATTCACTTACTCATAGAAACGGAAGTAAAATTTAGATCAATTTCACTCTGATACTCCTTATACAGTGTTGTTGTTTGTGATAAGAAACAATGTAGCCCATTGACTTACAATTATATGGACGTCGGGTCCGCGCTAAAAAGTGTCCGAACTTATAGGGCGTTAAAATCGTATACAGAGCGTCATTCACGCTCTAGTCTTCGTTTGTTCGACTGACAGCGAAGCAAGCAAAATTAGACAGTACTGCGATGACATTACAATTTAAATTCAACGTTTTAGCTTTTTCATATTCCTTGACATGTCACTACGTTTATATAGGTTGACTTGGGACATTTTTTTCGAGGTTTTTGTATTAGACCCGTCGTCCATTTATTTGTAAGTCAATGATGTAGCCTCAAATTTTTGCGATATCTTGGCCTATGAAAGAGTCTATTACTACCAGACCACGGTAATTGTCGCGGGACAAGGAATTCTATTTTAGAGAGCAGACCAGGGCGATCAATAATGCCTGAGACAATTTTTTTTTATAAAGGTCAGATCAATTGGACTCGAACAGCTAAGTGACAAAATATTTTTTTGAGATGTCATAAAAAATCATAACCCAATTTTAGAATATTGAAATTGTTTTTATGATATTTCGGCTATGCATCGTTAGGGTAAGTTCCGATAAGTTAAACACGATAAGTAATTTTAACTGCCTCTGTGGCCTAACGGTTACCATGCCGGACTGCCAGGCAGAGGTCCCAGGTTCGATTCCCGGGCCGGGAGAAATAGTTGTATGGCCTACAATTATTTCTCTAGTGAGTTTGGACGTAATTTGTGGTTGTCTATGTGTGTGTCCATGGCACCCGCGACACAGGGTTTCCCTAGTGCGGGGCTATGTTGAGTGTGTGCGTTATTTATTATTATTTATAACTGTTTTTAAAAGAGAATTTTGTGTTCTATCTTTTTCTATTTGAAAAGGATATTTGACCACTTGTCACTTCGCCGCGGTTTAATTAGTGGACGGCAGAATATGCGTCTATATACGGCGCGGGGCGTGTGTTAAATTAAATAAAAATTACAGATGGTTATGAATCCATCAATACCCTTGAAAATAAAACGCAAGGCCAACATACCTTTAAATTAAACTTGGTACCAAACTTGTGGTACCAATCGGCGAACACGATGTCAGCTAGAGCGTCCTTTGGCAGCAAGTACACCGCCCGTCCGGACATGTTGGTGGACAGCATACGCAACAGCGCGAGTTCCGCTATTACAGATTTACCGGACCCGGACGGCGCGCCGATGAAGACATTGTCATCGGAGTTGTACACCGCGTTGAACACCTTTAAATTATATTACGGAAATTATTATTTTTTTATGTCTGGTTGTGAAGGGACAGACGTGAGATTTTTATTATGATACCAAGTCACAGGACATTGTTTGCCTGGTGGTAAGCAACACGCCTGTTCATAACAGTTTGCTGTACCATTCAGAGCTATGAATCGCAAAGGTCTGAGGGGCACTGTCACTGCACCCGTTGACAAGTTGACAAGTCCCATGTGCCTGTAATTTCATCAACACCCTTACGGAACGCAGTAATGTTGCTGGGTGGCATTTCCCTGGACGAATTCATTCATAAGGAGCCTTACTGCTACTAGAACTGAGGCACGTGAGTTGCCCTTAAGTTGAAAGCAATGGGCGGACGTTGTCACAGGACACTGCGACCGGCATCTCCGGGACCAGCCCAGAGACCTAGTAGAGGATGAGCTAGACATTCTCGGGTCCTTCCAGACGCGTAGATTTCTTGAAACCGCAGCCCGATTCAGATCTCTTCGGTATTTTAACCGAGTCGTCGTTCTCGAATCGAAGGTCGCTTTCCGACCTATTCGCGTTAAACGTTTGATTCGGATACGATGTCGTTATTCAACAGCTTTTACGGAGTCAGTCGGTGAATGTACGTATGTATGTACATTGCTAAGATTTTTAAAGGCCTCAAATATAGGAATGCATTAGTCTTATATTAAAATAAATTAATAAAATTGAATAGAATCTAGACTTTATTTAAAAGAATAAGAGACTTTCAAATTACATCGTCAGACGTCTGCGCCTCTTATTTATCACACCTTCCATGTTGATAGTGAGGCTTTCAATAATATTTATTTCAAGTTTAGATATATAGTATAATATATAATATCATTTTATAGATGTACGTATCGGATGCTTAGAACCACTTAGATAAGTTACCGAAGAAATCGTACGACAATAGTTATCGTAAGGTTTGAATCGACTTCCCGGAGAGACACCTCGGCGTCAGGAAGTGAGCGTGCCTTACAGCTCCGTCACCAAAGGGAGATTTGGTAGTGGACTCAAGAGTCGACGGCTTAGCGGTGACACCGTTCAGTTGAGAACCGCATGAAGACTGTGACAACTCTGTAGTCAGGCTGATCTGGGGACAGAACCTGTGCATGCACAGGTTATAGTGCCCTTCTCGTATACCCTAAGGGTCAGTAGGGAGGGTCACTATAGTCAAAACTTATGTCGAAAGGAAGGGCATGCTACTAGCTAACTTCTTACAATTCTTTTCACATGGGACTTGCCAACTTAACTGCCTCCGTGACTGAACGGTTACCATACCGGTAAGCCAAGCAGAGGTCCCGGGGTCGATTCCCGAGCCGGGAGAAATATTTATAAGAAATATTTAAAGAGTAAGAAAATATTTAAAGAAATATTTATAATTTATAACACAAATTACAATGTAATATGTGGTTGTCTGTGCGTATGTCCATGGCACCCGCGATACAGGGTTTACCTAGTGCGGAGCTTAAAAAAATATGTCTCAGAGTGACAGGCGCCGTGGCAGCGCACCTCAGATCTTCGCGACTTATAGCTTTGAGTGGTACTGCAGCTGTTATGGACAGGCGTATCGCTTAACACTACTTCACAAAAAAAGGCGTCATAAAAAAAGTTGTTATTTTATGATATTCTTACCTGCGTCTGTACAGGGTTGAACTGCACAAAAGTGTCAGCGTACAGCTCTTCATATTTTGGATTACGTAAAGCTGATATAGGCAAGGGTTGTAGATCTAGCAGTTCTGTAGGAGGCAAGTTCTTCTCGGGCAGAATGAGATGACGGAAGGACACTGGAAGGACTGTTTCTGCTGCTATCCATCTGTATCACAAAAAAGAAATTAAGATTTTACGTATCGTTCAGCCCAAGCTCAAACTCCTACTCATATTGATCCAACTCTACTCCTCATTCGTAAGGAAGATTCCCCACAGAAGAACAGTAAGAAATTCTAGGGGTTATTCTTTGTAAATAAACATTTGTATTTGCAATATTTATTCCAAATATTATAGGTCAAGACAACCTGCCAGATGTAAACGGGTCATTACCATAGATTTGAAGTACGCTGTATACATAATCTTAATGCTCTGGCTATACAGAGGCGGGAACGGGAGCGTTCCGGGCGCTAAAATTGTTGTAATGTTCGAGTTCTTATGAACCCTGCCACACTGAAACCGGCGGCGGGGCGGGCGCGGTCAGGGGGGTGATTCACGTAACCAAACCGTTGCGATATCGTAGCGATTTAGTCGTTGAAGTGCTTTTTCGTATTCGCGTGTGACAGTGAACGTCAACGAGTGCAATTTTAAAGTCGTTCGATCCAAATGTCGTTAAAGCGTATTCTGGTATATGAATCGAACATTAATCGACTGTAAACGACAAGTCATACGTATTCTGCTAAAATTTTGTCAGTTCTTTTAATAGACTTTCGAAGACTAAATGTCAAATTTCACAATCCAAGATATCGTCCATTAGTCGTTACGTTTCGATTCTAATCATATCAACGTTCGTTCAAGTGATGCGTGAATACCCATTTGGGATAGGACTTCGATCGAACGACTACGTAACTTCAACGATATTTTGATAGCAACTTACGTGAATCGCACTACTGGAGCCCAACGCTATGACAAACAGGTGGTCCGGGCGCGAGCCGGGCGAGTTGTATTCCATTGAGTTCTATGCAACCGTCCACCGGTAACAGTCCGTTGTAAATTTTACAGCTCTTGAGTGTGTTTTAATTAGCTACTTAATTAGCGTGTAAGTTCAGTCGACCAGTACGGCACAGGTAAAACTGACTTTATTTAAAGTTTTACTGCACATCTGTAGTATATGGTACAGGTACACACAAAAGTCACTAAATGCGATGCGTGTACAGTACAACGACGCGTTCAGACGACACTGTAGCGCGTCCGGGATGTTCGCAGATGCAAGGGTTGACGGCTTCGAAGCGACGTTGGGAAATGAATGTATTTTATTTTATTTTAATTAAGTTTCAATAAGAATTTAACCGAAATTTCTTTTGCGTTGCTTCCGTAGTGTTAATAAAAGCAGAAAATGTTGTCCGACAGCGATGTGGTGCTTTCTTTAAATTCTGTATAGAAAATGAACCGTGCTGGTTTTGGTGTCATACTAGCCGCCTTCGCTCCGCCATTCCGCCGCGAACTACACGAGGAACAACGCATACTACTACGCATTAATTAGCTTCCCGAAGTTTCGCCCCCGGACCGCTTTTCTCGCTGTACCGCCTCTGTGTAGCCTGAGCTTAAGTGTACATTTTACATAATAGTTTTAAACATCGTCAATGACAAATTTTTAATATCAACCGGAATATTATTATAGAAGCGTATACATTGCTATTTAAATTAATTTGTGACTTTGTGAAGACTATTGTCAAGAACAGGCAGTTTATTTTTATTCCTAGTACATATATTATGCATGTCACTATCTAAAAATATTATTGTTATTCGTAAGGCGAGGTATTAGAAGTTGGCACTCGCGTCTTGCAATCCATGTGGTAAAGATTAATATGTATAAAATAAGAACAGGCTTTCAGAGCTTTATTTTAGCCTGTGTTCAGGATTTTATATGATCGGGTAAAATACATTCTATCGGGTAATAAATTAAACATTTTTTTTGTTACAATTGCACAATCTTTAGGCAATATCCTTAGGTGTATATGTAGATACTTAAAAAAATTGGTTTAGCAAAACAGTCCACTCCGCTCATTGACTTACAAATAAATGGACGACGGGTCTAATACAAAAAC